GGAAAATTTTATGGGCTATATATATATATATATATATAATAATAATAATAATAAAATTTATGTAGTAAATATATAAATGGTGAAGTTTTAAATGTTATGTATGTAAATCCCCCTTATATAAAGAAATAGGGATGTAAATGAGGATATAAATTCTAGAGTTAAGATGGGGTAATTAAAAATGGGTGCTTATAAATACCAACACAACAGGAGAATATCATGGATACCCAAAAGTGAGTTCTATAAATTTGCATATTATAACCGGTATAGTGTAAGGAACCAAGTTTTAGGTGATAAAGAATTCATTAAAACAACAGGAATATGTTAAAAATGAAAATTTTAAGAGGGATGACACAAGAAAGTACATGAAAAGCTTAGAATTAAAAAAATATTAAAGTAATAAGACACAGAATAGTTAAGCCCAAAATTTTAGAAAATGGGAACATAATGTTTTTATCATAGTTACCTGAAATAAAGAATGCGATCATGCGTATGACAGACGATAAAGTCAGACATAGAATCATTTACACGCATCTTTCCAACAGACTTTCCAATTGTTCCACGCCTTTGCAAATTGAAGGTGTTAGGCTTCATCCGTTTAACATACCCTTTCTCACTAAGGGTCTGATAAAAATAACATAGCATTTCAGTTTCAGAAACAGCTAATAGAATGAAACAACTTTTCATTTAAACTTACGATCAAATCTGACATAAATTTATTTTAAAAAACACTAAAATTTTAGCTGAATATATAAAAAGAAAGCATATACCAAAAGCATTTCTTCATTTGGAATAACATCAATTTCCTCAAGTTGGCTACCATCACCATCTTCCAATAGTGAGCTCCTTGGAGTTCCAAATCTGCTTTTCAACTCATGCGCCTCTTGTACTATGAGCTGTTGCAGAACCAAAAAAAAAAAACATTTAGAATAATTTATAATACAATAATAGCAATCAAGGTAACTTGCAACACACAGCGTATATAGACTTCCGTGCAGCCCTACAGCAGTAAAATGGTTGTTTACCCAAATTAGAGAAAAGCAAATATTGCCTAACTAAATGATAAATGAATTAATTAACTCGCCAACTATTGAACTAAGACATAACAAATTTGATGGGGCAGAGGCTTAATCCCTAAGATTTCTATTAATAAACTTCACTAAACACATGACTGCCACACAATATGATTTACATCTTTCATGAATTATATGACAGCAATTGAAGAGTTTCAAGACGGGCTGAATTTGCTGATCAAATTTTAACGAGTTGCATTAAATTAATATTCTCTTATGTAAGTTATATGCTAAAGTTATTCAATTTTCTCATAATTATGCTTTCTATTTATTGGAAAAAGGCAAAAATAATATAATGTTCTAGGTGCTAAGACTATTCCCATTAACAAAGAAAAACAAGAAATAATCTGTAATGTACTAAACATTCATCCAGAGACATAAAATTCATAGGAGAAGACTGTTTAGGCTAAAAAAGCAATTGATTTTGCATTTACTTTTGATATAAAACATGGCACAAAGCTGGAGAGGAAAAAGGGGGAAGATGTAATACCCAGATAATTTCAACACATTATATTTCTTTTAAAGTTTCAATAAGTTTAAATAATACTTTTAATTATAATTAACTTTTAAATAAATTATTATTTACTTAACAGTTAATTATTGTTAAGAAAATATTAGCATTAGTAATAAATAATATATTAAATTAAGTTAATTATTCCTTATTTCCCAAAGGTGCTTTTAATAGCTGTAAGTTCATTGTGGCAGTTGTAAAGTGGGGCCCCTTTTTCCATTTGGTTTTCACGCAAGCAAACAGAGGGGAAGGCTGGAAGGAATTGCGGATAGTTGGCGTGAATAGCAGAGGCGGATGGAAGCAAAGAGCAGGTGTGAAGAATTACAGCCATGAGAGGAGCTGTAACAGAGTGAGGGTTTGACTATAGGAAGCTCGGTCTCCGGCTTCAGTAGGGTAAAAAAAACAATTGTAGGAATTTGTTGCTAAGAACGACTGAGTTTTGCAGTGGGCTTTGAGAGCGGAATTGCAGTAAATAATTTCGATTAAAGAAGAGGAAAAAGAAAAATTAAAGGAAAGGAACAAATCAAGGAATTATTTGGTATAGGAGGATAAGAAAAACTGCTTTCGAGGTAAATTGTTATGCAAGTATAAGTTGATTTTATGCAGTTTATTTGAATACTAAATTGTGAAAATTACAAAATTAGAAAGGTGAATTGTAGGTAATTTACAAACGAAGGAGGATTTGAGGTGTCGGATTTAAAGAGACAACTCATCAAAAAAGCAAGTGTTGCAATTTTAATTTAAAAAGTAAATGTTATTAATTCTAGATACATATAACTTTATTTGGCTTAATTGAAGGGAAAAATGCATTAAGATGATTCAATTTAGTGAATATGAACATACATCCAAAGATTTCATATATAGGCAACTACATGCACAATTGAATAATTGGAATTTTATATAAGATGAAGAATGATTGTTTAAAAGTTTTCCTAATTTGTAATATTTTGGAAAGAATTTATTACACTGTATGTTGCATACATATTATTTTTATACAATATTTTTATACAAGCAGTATAGTAGATAATTTTTTTATATGAAAGCATCAAGTATGACAAAACAAGAATAAGTTCTAAATTTAAAGCCTAATGAATATCAAATTAGAAAAAGTTGAATATGAAAGAATATACTATGAAATAATATGATACATGCATTTCAGGTGGGGCAAAAGACACCCCAAATATGAAACATGCGTTGTAGGTGGGGCAAAAGTTAAGTGTTACAGAGATGAGGATGCTCAGGTGGATGAGTGACTTTACTCTTAAAGACAAGATAAGAAATGAGCATATACGTGATAAGGTTGGAGCAGCTTCAGTGGATGATAAGATTAGATAGGGTCGCCTTAGATGGTTTGTCACATAAAATGGCAGCCTTCTGATGACAAATTGTTCATGCTAGATCTTTATTCAGTTGGTAATTATTAAGCTGGACTCATTGATTATCATTATATCAGTATCAAATTACACCAAACTCTTTTCTCATTGTTCCAAATATATCACTAACTATACAATGAAAATTCAATGGTTATCCACCTATTGCCCCTTTATGATCTATGATGCATAGACACGGACACGGCGACACGGCGACACGGATATGACATGACACTGATATGGGACACGTCAATTATTGAAAATATAGGATACGGACACGGGTTGGACAAGACATTATAATTTTTATATTTTAAAAATAGTGTATAAAAACTGAATAAGTATAATTTTAAAAATTATTTAGAAATAATAAGTTATTTAACTAGAATTTATACTTAAAATGATTAATATTAGGATATCGAGAGTCGGCCGTTGATGTCATTTATTAGTCATCGAGAGAGGAGTTGACAATGATGTCGAGAGTTGGACATTGATGATATGTAGTAAATATTGGGCGTCAATGTTAAGAGGGCGTTTATTGTTGATGTTTATGGGAGCATTGGTCGTCGATGTTGAGAAGGCGTTGGACAAAGATGAGATATCATGTTGTGGGTGTAAAAATTGCTAGCATCAAGCATCAATGTAAAGACAACGTCAGACTTTGATATGGATATTATTTTGAAATGTTGATGTTGTAACGATGTCAGACGTCGATGTTTAGATGACATTGAGCATTGTTGTGAAATCAAAATTGTAACCCAACAAAGATAAATAAAAATGAGAATATTTAATGAATGGGGTATTAAGTGTGGGCGATTGATTTGGTGTTGTGGATAAAATATGTAAGATACGCATGTCGAACACGTGTGTCCAATTTGTATTTAATATTTTTTTTAAATGGACACATTTGCAGTGTGTTTGACATGTGTCGGAGGAGTGTCAGACGCATGTCGTGTAAGATACGAGTCGGACACTGCACGCCTCTTTCAGGAGAAGTATCGGTGCATCATAGTTTATGACTAATTGTTCCTAGGCTGCATTTACATTTCTTTAATGAATCAACTCTATACTTCTTTGGGATCTATTTTTGGTTAACATTTGCAAGTTGATGCTACTAGTGTCGTCTTTAAGGCCATCAATGGCCAAGGAACTACTTAAAATGGACGCTATTTCTTTGGTGATTCGGATGGGAGATTATTAAGCAATGACACGCTGGTGGATAGAAGATTTCATAACTTATTCATCAGACAATGGAGAAACACGAAAACAATCTATTAATATCCTATTTTCACCAGGCTTCAAGCAAGGTGGTACAACCGAGTTGTTTTCAAAATCTTATTGATGCTTCTGCTCCATGCTATATTTGTTGTATCCTATTCATGTTTTCTCTAGCACTTCTTATTAATTGTCCTTCGTGCAATTATTTTACTATTTACTTATAAAACTATGGCTTTAAAAAAGTCTTGTTGTAAGCCACAGCTATCTAGAAGCATGATACAGAAATCCCAACATTAAAAGGGACAACAGTTAACAAGCTTTGAAGAACAAAAGCTCAACTTCATGCTAGATCTTAGTCAATGAACTTACTACATAATAGTATGTGCCATGCTTGAGCTACCACTTCTTTTTGGCATTACAAACATTTTAAAAAGATTATTATATTGTAAAAATCTCAACCGTCCCTTGGCCCTAGATCTCATGGCCAGCATGGGGATCCGTGGTAGGCTCACCCGGATCACACTTTTAAATCTCAGCTGTCTCTTGGCTCTTGATCCCACGACCAGAATGGGGATCCATGGGAGGATCACGCCGATCTCCTTCCATATTCGAGTATTTGATTTAGGAAGGATTATATGAGGGCAATTACGCATGATTTCGTATTTATTCATTTCATTATTAAGATATCTTGCATAGATATATAAATAGATATAATTTTGTTAATAAAATTAACCTTTTTCCCTCTCCAATTCTCTGAATTTAACATGGTATCAGAGAAAGGCATTCAGATCTTCTTTAAAAGCAAGAGCATGAGAGAGGGAGAGATGGTTCTTGTGCTCTGCTCCTACTCGTGTGCATCCAGGGCAGTTGAGCAAGTGAGAAGTCTTCCCCTTTGCGATCTAAGCATGCGGCGCTCGTGCGTGCCTACTGCGGACTAAATCAAGTGTATAAGAGGATCAAGATAGGGATCAAGCAGGAACTGCAAATGTGTGTGCCTGAGCGGGGACGCCAGGCCCTTGTGCGTGTGTTGGAACCGAAGCTATCAAGAAACGAGTGGTTGAAGAGCTGTTGTACACGCCATCAAATCCTCCACCTGAAGAACCCCTCCTTTCCCCCAAATCCCAATCACTTCTGCATGTTCTCGATCTACTACATTCAGATCTGAATGATGTATAAGAAGGCAGAAGCATCCTTCTGGACAACAGAAGAAGTCAACCTCTCCCAAGATCTCTGCCACTGGGATCAATCCATCAAATCGAACGAACACCACTTTGTAACCCATGTTCTCGCCTTTTTCACTGTCGCTGACGGAATCGTCATTGAGAGCCTTGCCGGTCTGATTTGGACTGAAGTCGCTTCGCTGGATTCAAAGCTCACTGACATAACGGTCCTAATATGTGGAGTTGCCCAGACGATGCACGCGATGGGAAAGAAGATGAATTTCTTGGTAGTAAGGAAGTTCACTGTTACAGTCCAGTACATGGTCACAATGACCGAAGTGCTGTTGCGCACTTAAATGGTGAAGTACGCTACTTTTTTAAGTAGGGAGTCGATTGTGGATATCGAGGGTGAGACAACAGAGAGATTAAAAGCCCTTAATCCTATCCTGAAAGTGCTGGCGCTTGCTGGTTCTCCAGGTTCCAACCACTAGCCTTCATTGCTGAAATTCTGAGGAAAGCAGGTTCCTACCAATAGCCTTCACTGCTGGAATTCCGAGAAACACATGT